AGAGAGAGAGAGAGAGAGAGAGAGAGAGAGAGAGAGAGAGAGAGAGAGAGAGAGAGAGAGAGAGAGAGAGAGAGAAAGAGAGAGAGAGAGAGGGGGATGGGGGGTTGAGTGCGCAGGTACCTAGGGCCAAGTGTTCTGGACCCCACGCATCAGTTCCATTTTTCCGAAAAGCGCGGGAGCGGCCCATTTTCGCGTTTAACGGGAAATCAACGGGATTTTTTGAGTTTCAACGGGATTCGACAGGAGTTTAATTCCCTGTTATCCGTTAAAAAGACACACAGGACGAATCTGATGCCTTGTGTGCTTTGTGTTCAATTCGATAATGGGAGCCTTGGGCACTGGGCCCTTTTAAACCAAACACACACACACACACAAAAAAAAAAAAAAAAAGAAGGAGAATGCATATGAGAAGTGGTTTCTAGAAATGGAAAAGAACATCTCCAGAATCTCCATGATAGGGTGCAGCACCCAGCGAAGCACCACGTGTCCTGCGTTCTCCAGCGTGTGCCCCCAACGGCCTTTGGGACTGAGGATATGCTGAGTTATCAAGAGCAGTGCTGGGAGCGGGTTCACCATTATTATGTAGCCGTAAGCTGAGAAGGATAGATGCACACACAGAATGACCGGCCGGCCTGTATGAGAGAGAGGAGGAGGAGGAGGAGGAGCGAAGACAGAGAGGGGCAGAAAGTAGGAATGACACATGCTGTCCTCCTATTCCCAGACTGAGTCTCTTTTTCTGAATCATAAGTTAACACTGATGTTTGCGCAGGCGCAGCCCTCTGAAGTCGAAACGGTTGCCGAAAGTGATTTGCCTGGCGCCACCAGCCTTTCGCGGCGGGCGCTTGAAGCCTTTTTATAGCCTCCTGTTCTCTGGCAGCCTGTGGCAGGCGCTTTTTCAAAGGCTGGGCCAACAACTGGTGGAGTTCCCACTAATCTTCTCAGCCGCTTATGGTCGAATGCTGGTCGCAGTGGTGTGGCTAGTTAAACTTTGTTTCTTGCTTACACAAATGCCTCAGAGTCTGTCAGACTGCAACCACTCCACATGCAGAACACGAGGATGTCTTTTTTTTTGTTTTGTTTTTTCAACACACAGGATGTCATGTATCTGTAGCTGAGGGTGCTGGGTGCAGAAGTCCAAACACAAGCTTTTTTCCGTACTCTGCCCCCCTCCTTCACCCTGTATCTTGGGGTGCAGTCACCCACATGCAGTTTCACAGTAGGACTTTAGAAAACAAGTCCCCAAGTTAAGAAGTATAGAGGCATGCAAACATAATACATGCAAAGAGGGACAATTTTCAAATTGGCGGTAGTCACTGTGGTGGTGGTACTGGTGTGTTTGTGTGTTGGGGGGGGGGTTCAGTCTCTGTACGGGTCGAACGGAGTCGGCGGAGGGTCTACTGCTCCAACAAATGCGACGTAATTTATCATCCCATCCATTTGCTCGTCGTACTTTTCTGCAATGAGGAAGAAATCATCGTCACTGAGAGAGATTCCCATCTTCGTCTTCAGAGCTTGGCGGAACTGATACATGGTGACGTGTCCGACCCTCTTGGTGCTGTTCACATTTTTGGCAGCGTCATCAAAAAGCGGTTTCGCCAGCACACCCTTGATTTTGCACATGCGCCTGATCTTCTCGATGAGGAAGGACAGCTTGTGCTCCTTCTCCTGTGTGAGATGTCGCTCACCGATGCGGAACCTTTCCGTGTAGTTGCCCAGCAGAGGTGGAACGGGAGGCACGTACCGCAGCGGAGTTCGCTCCAACTCTTTCAGAGTGAACACGGTGTTGACTTCATCAACAAAGGCCCGGTAGCAGGTCCGTTTCTGGCCGTCCAACGGGTTCCGATACTTGTCCGCAAGCGCCGTCATTTCCCGTTCGGTAACGGTGACACCCGAAAGGACCAGACCGGATTGGAACTGGGTTCCGGTGATGTACCCGGACCGCAGCTTGTCAAAGTCGATAAAGAACTCCGCCAAATTGATGCGGTTTCTGTAAACCGTGAGCTTGACTTTGTTCTCTGCGGCGTCGACATCGAAACCGTCCGGGCAAACCTTCCAGTCCTTCATCATCAAAAGCTCAAAGTGTTTGTCCTCTCTCACCTCGGCGCTCACCAGTTGATGATAAAGTTTGAACTCCCAAGGGAAGATCTTATCCAGCAAACGGAACGACATGTCCAGGTACTCAGTCAGCATCTGGTCCTCGTCCTTCCGCCTCTCCATGACGGCGGGCTGACAGAGCGCATTATAGTAACAGTTGATTTCATCGATGGTCGCGTAACCCTTGCGATCTTTATCAATTTTTGCAAACGCCGCCGACACAAGCTTATGCCTGAAATCATTCATCTTTCCCAATGCTGCGTCCAGAAACTTGTCCAAGTGAATGCGCCCACTTGGGCCTCTGCCGTCCCAATTAGAAGTCTCCTTGCTGGTCTCCTTCTTAATTTTACCGCTCTTGCTATGATGATAAGTCCCGGCACAAAGCTTCTCCACGAGCTTCCTGTCGCCTACTGGCTTTTCACACAGATGTTGTTGTTTTTGTTTTGGTGGTTGTTGTTGGTGGGCGTGGCGGCACTGTTCCTGCGCCTTGAGTGACAGGTGTTCACAGCCATGGTCCCGGAGCGGGTATTTTCTACAATCACAAACCTTGGGGGCATCAACCGGAGGATCTCCCTTGCCGTAGGCACGAAAGAGTACATCAACCTCCTCAGTGGGTAAAAATATGCACGCCTTCTTCAGCGCATCATCAAACTCGCATCGTGAAACGTATCCGTCCTTGTCGGCCAGCCGATGCAGATCCGCCATGGCCTTAATGGCCCTTGACCCAGAGCGCCGAAGCTGCTCTGTGAACTTTTCATTGATAAAGAACAACGAGAGCACCATGATGGTGACGGTGATGACAACGACGATAAAGGATGATAAATGATGTACCTACTTATCTATGACTGAGGCAATCACAATGACATCCCTATGGTTATGATGTATTCAGACATAGTATTGTTATAATAGTGATAGGTTGCCAATGGGTGGTACTTATCTATCAAAGGCATGAACTTGCAAACTATTGGGTGGTACTATTCAATTAAAGACATCAACTTGCAAACTATAAGTGGTACCAATCTATAAAAGATATCAATCTACTTTTTTTGGGCGCCAATGGACGGCAAACAGCTAGTACTAGTAGTAAAGGTATCAAGCTGGAAGGTATCAAGCTGGAAACAATTGGGTGCCATTGGGTGGTAGTGATCTATTAATTTAAAGGTATCAACTTGCAAACTGCTGGGTGGTACTAACCTATTAATTAGGGGTTGGCCTTGCACACTATTGGGTGCCAATGTGGGAAGGATATATACGAAACATAAGGTATCAACTTGTAATTTAAAACTGTTGAGTGCTGATAGGTGGCATCGATCGATTAAAGGTATCAACTTGCAAACCACTGGGTGGTACTTATCTATTAAAGCCTTTAAAGGTACAATATATCAATTTGCAAAATCATCTATTCAAGGTATAAACTTGTAAATTATTGGGTGTCAATGGGTGGTAATAAAGGTATCAACTTCAGAACAATCGGGTGCATATGGGTGGTATTTATCACAGATTGGGTGCCATGGGCCACCCAACCAAAGATCACACAATGCGACAAGACCTGTAGTATTTCAACCGAAGCTGGTCTTAATTGGGTACAAGTACATCCTAACAAAATCACATATTTCCAGGTATCATGCAATGGCCTCTACAAAACTCTCTCTCTCTCTCTCTCTCTCTCTCTCTCTCTCTCTCTCTCTCTCTCTCTCTCTCTCTCTCTCTCTCTCTCTCTCTCTCTCTCTCTCTCTCTCT